AGGAAGGAAGGAAGGAAGGAAGGAAGGAAGGAAGGAAGGAAGGAAGGGAGAATAAAAGAAAACAAGAAAAGAAAAATAAAGAAAAGAAAAAGAGCTATTTTGGACTGGGCATGATAGCATTCAAGCACTTGGAGTCCTAGGAAAGAGAATCATGAGTTCCAAACCATCCCAAACACAAACCAAGATCCTGTTCAAAAGACCAAGAAAAATAAAGAGAGGGGTAATTCTCATTTCAAGCTCCTCTTTCTCAGATGACAGCAAAAGAAAAGTAATACTGTGTAGAAATAGAGGAAAGAAAAAGTAAGCTGGTTTACCTTCTGAGTCCTTCTCATAGAAGACTCCATGAGGGTGAATGGTATAAGGACGGCTGGCAAAATTCTTCAGGTGGATAAGGATGACATCCCCCACCTCAGCCTGTATCAGTGGTCCTAGGAAGCCCAACCATGTGGGCTTTGCTACTTCATCAGTATACGTGTCATCACTGTATTCCTTATAGACGGTCTTCTTGTAAGTACTCCCTATCCTGTTTTTGCCAGACTTTAGGAAGCTGGAAGCCACTCTGAGAAAAAATAAGACACAATTACAACTTTTCTACCATCTTCAAACAACTAGAAGTTTCTTTCCCAGGGAATGCTGACAAAAGGAAAAGGAATTAGATTGCACTTCTGAAAATATAACGTGAAATAGAAAGTTGAGGCATATGAAATTGCTGAAATATGATCAACTTTTAACATCCAAAGTAACACTCATACATGGTACAAACAAATGTATAATAGCAGAGAGATAACAAGCTGTACAATAACACTTTTTAAATGACCAACTCTTCACTCACATAACCTTTAGCATTGTGATTTTATATATAGAGAACAGAAGATCATAGTGGTTATAACCACAGGCTTTGGAGCCAGGACACTTGGATTAAATATCAGCTGCACCACTTTAAAATTTTGAAGCAATGGACAAGCTGTTTAACTTCTATATAAAATTTCGCTGTCTTCGAAATGACTTCTTCGTACATAATTTCACCACCTTCCAAATTAAGGTAATTGCAGAATCTGACTAGAAATTTGTTATGGTGACAAAAGGAATTTTATATTATAGGTCTTAATGTGTACCTTGGATTTGATTCTAAGAACCATGAGAAAGAAAAAGTAAAATGAAACTTTAAGAATGTTTAGGACAGTACCTGAAAAATTACCAAATTTCAAGGTTATTACTCGAAATTATTTAGTTGCTATTCTTTTAAGAGCAATTTTAATACAAGCATTCTGACTCCAAAGCTGGATGATGAGTTTGTGTCAAAAGAAAGCTTATGCTAGCCATACATCTCAGTGGTGGAATACTTGCCTACAATATAAAAAGTCCTAAGATTGATGTCAGCACTATGAAAACAGAAAGAGAAAAATAGAGCAATCATTATTTTAAGATGGAAAACTTTGGGCTTTGGAGAAATAAAGGGAACCACCATTGCAATAAATGCTTCAATACATTCATTCATTTTCTTCAATTTCTGATGAAGCATCAACAAATTTCTAAGATCCAGAAAGGTTAAACTTTCCCATTGTTTGGGAGGTTGAAGCAGGAGGATTGCCATGAGTTCAAACATGGCAAGAGTTACATACAGAGTTCTTAAACAGCCCATGCCAAAGTGTAAGGAAGACCTTCTCTCAGAAAGAAAGAAAGAAAAAGAGAGGAGGGAAGGAGAGTGGGAGGGAGAGAGGGAGAGAAGGGAAAGGGACAGATGATCAACAAAATAAAAAAAAAGAAGAAAGGAAAACAATCTTGTGAGGGGTACAATGGTAAAAACAGAATCAAGTATATACATCCACATTACAGATATTCAAACCTCAGTTCCTCTATTTACTAGCTATAGTATTTGGATGCGTCATTTGACTTTCATGAGTCTGTGTTCTCATCTATGAAATGAAGACAGCCAATTTTTACATGTTGCTCCATGGTAGATCTCATGTTTATCATGTAAAAAGTCCTGGTTCTATATTAATACCACAATGTTAATGATATTCATACTTCCTAGAGATTTTTCAATAACTGTATGACATATTTGTAGAGATCTATTATAGTATCTCCCTAGGGTTCTTGTCTAAGAGTGATCTGTTACTGTCATTTCCTTGCTTATAAGATTTTTTTCACATATCTAGAATTAAGGTAGTTACACTGGAATACAAGAGCACAATTCCACTATACATGTCTTACAAATGCAGCATAACTTTCATTTTTTAGAAAGTAAACAAAACAATTTTTGTTAGATTAGCATTATAAATTCCATCTTAGATGCAAAGAAATATAGACTTATATTTATGACTCTAAAAATCTAAGGTACTTCATTGTTGAAAATCAAACTTGGGATGAAATGTTGGGTCCTGAGTCAAAATTTGTTTCCAGGAAACCTATTGTTAGATGTGTGGTACAAAGAGATTGGAAGCTGGCTGCTATGGTAACCCGAGAAAGGACCCTCAAAAGACTACCCTTTCAACCTCAAGAATGTCCTCTTTTATCTCTACCTCTAATAATACATGAGATTAAACCTACATGTCATTGTTCAGAGTCTGGTTTGTGATGACATTTCTTCCTTTGGGAGCATAGTTCCACTGCACATCCTGGATGCCCAGATAGTAGTTTCGAATGGCCCCATCAGTTGGTAAAGGCCACAAGGAGTTCATAAACAGTAAAGCCCAGAGAAGATAACCTGGCTTCATGGCCCACATTACTTTGAGAAACTGGGAATGGAATCTGCTGATATGAAAGGGGAAAAAAAGATAAAAAGAAAATTTGCATGCATCTGGAAAACCAGAGAGACAAGAAACAGATGAAATGGCTGTAAAACCCAAACCCAACCAACTCAGGTTTGTTTGTTTACCTCACTAGCTTTCTTTCAGTGCAGCAAATACCCAGTAGCCTTTATCATAGGCTGTTAGAGAACAAAGTTAAAATTTCACCTATAATACTAATCATGCACTGCCTCCTTCAGAACAGACACCTGAATTCTGTTATTTCAGCAGTATGGAAGGGAGAATGTACTCTGACCCTCAAACCAGGAAACATTCATCAAAATCATGATTAGACTACACTGACTGGCTTGGTACCTTAACCAAGTCAGCCATTCTTCATTTGCCCATTTTCCCTTAAGCAAAAATGACTCATAGCTGCTACTTCCCAGAATCAATAAATTGTATTTAGAAACACGTGAGAAATCATCAAAAGACATTTACTGGAATATTCATAGACTCAAAATGAAAACTTGCAAAATGCTAATCAGTATTAAAATGATTGAGTAAATTGTATTTTATTTACACAATGGAATTCAGAATGGCAGTAATAATGAACAAGCTAAAACTATGCACAACACTATGGGCAGATATGGTAAATGTAACTCTAAAGAGAGAAACAAAACACAAAAGCATACATAATGTATGATTTCATTCAGGTAAAGGGCAAATTACAGAAAACAAATCTGTTCTACTCAAAGTTAGGAAAGAAGTGAAAAAAAACAGCTCAGTTACATACTACTTGCACACTGGACATTAGTTCCTGGGTTCCATCCCTAACACTAAAAAATTAAATGAAAACCATGTTTACCCTTGAGGCAAAGATCAGTGACTGGGAAGGGAAGTGGTTATGTTCTATTTCTTTATCTGTATTCTATTTATATGGATATGTTCAGTTTCTGAAACTATGATAAGCAATAGAGGATTTACAGACATTTGCATATGTTTTATTGTTGGCTTTAAAAAGATAGAACAAAGCGAAAGGAAAGCATGTGACGGAAATACTTTGAACATCTTAGATTCTCAACTGGTTCCCAATGTTGCATATAAACTCATTTCACAGGTTCCATCCTGATGCACTGCTATTCTCAACCTTCTAGCCTCTTATTTAAATGCTTTAGCAAGAAGTTTGGAATTCTTGAAAATTCTTGAGACACTAAGAGAGAGACACTAAGTCATAACATACATAGCAACCAAACCCAGAGACATAAACATACATTGACACTTGCACAGATAAGTTCTCTTAAAATTTACTTAAAAGCACAGATGTGCCTATTTACACCCACATACAGCCATATGGTCAACATAGAGATACAGTTTCCTTTAAAATAACAACAATAGTAATAAGTGGGTATTCATTGTGTGTATGGTGTATTCATTTTAACCATCTCACACAAATTGAAATCTTGAAGATTTACGACCACCCTATAAAAGAGATGTCTTTATTCTCCATGGTATAGTGAAGAAATTGGAGAACAGATAGATAAAGTAATCTGCCCAAGGCCATCTTAGTTTACAAAAGTTAGAGTTGGGATTTGATTCCAGGAAATATGACTCCAGCACCTAAGATGCAGGCACAAAAAAACATACTTGCACACTCACATGTAAACACATTAAAACCATGCATTTACTCACAGCCATGGCTATATATAGAAAAACTGCATGCATTCTAAAATATGCACTTGTATGTGGCTATGTTTTCTTTAGACACAGAGATAATTATACAAGGAGACAATCATAATAATGATAATAACTACGTTTCAGTGAGATATGACTAAAGAAAAAACATCATGTTCAGTGCATTAAACAAACTATTTCATTAAATATTCAACTCAAAGCATAAATAATAGGGACTATTACTCTAAACTAGAAATTCTGTCTCTACTGGGTATGGTGGTGTATGACTAATTTCAGCACTCAGGAGGTTGAAGTAGAATTGAGGCAGGAGACTTACATGTAGCCTGGGCTACATGCAGAAAAGAAACTCTTTAAAAAGAATTAATTAGTGAATTAATTAACCCAAGCCCTAGTACTACAAAAAATTAAGAGATGCACAGATTCACATGTGGATAAGAAGGACACAGATATTTACCCTAGTATTTAAGGTTGTAAGTATTTAGGTAGGCCCAGATACTTACTCTGACTAAAATCAAACTTAAAGGCTTTTAAAAAAAATGAGCTCTTATATTTTTTCCACACACACCTATCATGTATTAATTATAAGTCTCCAAATTATGTCTGGCAGAAAGTCCTACATATAAAGACAGTCCTGTTTGAGGTGTGTGTGGGGGGGGGGGGACTTCTTGCAGAATACTGGCTGTCCCACAGATTGGTTATATAACCTGGTTATTATTTAACAGCTACGAACTTATTTTCTCATATGTAAAATGAGTTTAGTATCAGCCTTGGAGGAATAAATCAGAACATTTGCCTAAAAGTTCCCTCCTAGTAATAGCAGTGTTTAGAACACTGGAGATAGCTCCTATTGGCTTGCTTTCTTGCTTTTCCTTCTTTCTCCTAGCTACAGTTTGCTAATGTACCTTGTTGTCTCCTACGAAATTGCCTTCATTTGCCATATTAGACTATAAAATCCTTGACAGTGGATGTCAAGTAATACAGGTGTCTGTGTATCTATTATCAGATGTGGTACAGACAGTATGGTAGGCAAGCCATAGCAGCTACTGCTGAAGTGAAAGAAAGAGGAATAGGCATGTGTATTCCCACCTGTTAGCTCTAGTCTAGCTTCTAGCACTAGTCTGAATAGTGATTTCAGTCTAGTGTCTTTATCTTAATAAGCCCCAGTTTCTCATCTATAAAGCAACGAAGCATACAGAGCTGAACCATACAGTACCGACATTGTCAAAGCTACAGAAATTTTATAATCTAATGGAACACACACATGCATAACTATGAAAAATATGGTATTTCGAAAGTTCTCAAAAGACTCATTTTTTTCTCACATGATGCCAATACTCACATTTACTCATGAAACAGGGGTACAGTCACATGTACCTACATACAATACTATGCATGGAAACACAGTTAGACATTCCTTAAGACCCTCAGCCTGGAAGGAGAGGCCTTTGTTCAATTGACTTCTGAGTGTACACTGGACTTTGTTCAGACTTCCTTCTCAAAGATGTACCAGCAAGGCAGCTGTGCTTTCAGCTTATTTACCTAGAGGGAAAACAGATCCAGGTAAGAGTTCTATGACTGCATCTCACATGATAATCTTGAAAATATATGAAGAGACCTAGTAAAGACCATTAGCGTAGAATTAACAAGCATTCAAAGTGTGAAATGGTGGTTAATGTTCTGAAAGTCTCGAAGACACAGAATCTAGCAATTTTACTTCATAATGTGCTTTTCATATCTGCAACCTTATTTCTCATAGTAATGTAAGATATGGATTGGTTTCCATGTTTTACATGCAGGGAGAGGTATTGGACTCACACCTCTTAAATGAAACCTGGATCCACCAGAGTCTTCATCTTTAATACTATTTGCTGCCTCATAGAGTTGTTGTGAAGATTAAATGAACAGCAATGTATACCTGTATAAAGCAAAATAAGTGTGTATGTACACAAGTTAGTTATAAAAACTACCAGTGGCTATTATTATTAATTTTGATGAACTAGATTTCAACATAAAGCCAACCACTATCAAAAAGCTTTATCTCTTTAAGTTTGTTTGTGTGTCTGTCTCTATCGTTATTGTTTTCTTCTTTCTTTCTAATTCTGGGAATCGAATCCAAGTTGTAGTACAAGCAAAGAAAGTGCTCCTAGCACAAATATTATCATTTTATGGATAATGTCAGACATGTATACATTCTAATGTTCTGATATCCAGTAACACATTTAAAGTACAGAAGCACTTTTACACTGGCATAAAATGCACACATTTCAGGCTGACATTCTATTCTTGGAAGAAACCTGGTTTAATGTGAGCTAGACCTTGGGCCAGTTATGATGACACATACCTATAACCCTAGTACTCATGGAGGTGAAAGGTGAGATAGGAAAATCAAGAACTTCAAAGTCAATCTGGGCTATATGGTTAAGTTCCAGGTTAACTTTATCTGTCTGTCTGCCTCTCTCTCTCTCTCTCTCTCTCTCTCTCTCTCTCTGTGTGTGTGTGTGTGTGTGTGTGTGTGTGCATGCTCGCATGCATGAGAGAAAGAGAGAGCGAGAGAGAGAGAGAGAGAGAGAGAGAGAGAGAGAGAGGGTACCCATTTGTGTTAAAGAAACCAGAACTTAGATTCAGATAAACTTAGTTGTGAGTACTGTTTTGTATTTAAATGAAATAAATGTGTATAGAATCTGGAACTTAAGCATCTTTTAAATACTAGTTTTTCTTCCTTTAAATTACTGACTTCCTATCTTTCTGCCTTGAGGCTGATTTTGTCATTAATGTTATTTACACTGGTTTTTATCATACACTTTAAGGGCAGAGAGGAAGAGCCCATAAACTTCCCTTAGAATCACTTGGACATTTCATGATAAATGTGGAAAGTATCCAAGCACCAATAAAAAAAAAAAAGAGGGAGCATCCACTTCTGCACTCACTGTTTATTCATTTTACATGACACTGAGCAAATTATGTAGCTTCCTGTATCTCAGCTCCTCATTTCTTTGTTTGTTTGTTTGTTTGTTTGTTTAAAAGACAGAGTTTCTCTGTGTAACCTTGGCTGTCCTAGACTCACTTTGTAAACCAGACTGGCCTCAAACTACCAGAGATCGGCCTGCCTCTGCCTCCCAGAGTGCTGAGATTACAGGTGTGTACTTCCACAAATAGCTCAGCTCCTCATTTCTTTTTTCTTTCACAGTGTTTTTTTTATTTATTACAATTTATTCACTTTGTATCGCAGCTGTGGCCCTGTCCCTCATCCTCTGCCAATCCTGCCCTCCCTCCCTCCCTCTTCTCCTCCCCTGCCCTTCCCCAGTCCACTTATAGGGGAGGTCCTCCTCCCCTTTCATCTTACCCTAGCCTATCAGCTCTCAACAGAACTGGCTGAATTGTCTCCCTCTGTGGCATGGCAAGGCTGTCCCCATCTCAGGGGGAGATTTGATCAAAGAGTCAGCCACTGAGTTCATGTCAGAGACAGTTCTCTGTTCCCATTAATAGGAAACCCACTTGGAGACTGAGCTGCAATAGGTTACATCTGTTCAGGGGTTCCAGGTTATCTCCATGCATGGTCCTTGGTTGGAGTATCAATCTCAGAAAAGATCCCTGTGCCCAGAAATTTTTTATCTGTTGGTCTCCTTGTGGAGCTCCTGTCCCCTCCAGGTCTTCCTATTTCTCCCTTCTTTCAGAGTACAGATTCCCTGTACTCTGCCTAAAGTTTGGCTATGATTCTCAGCATCTCCTTGAATACCTTGCTGGGTAAAGTCTTTCAACGGCCCTCTGTGGTAGACTCCTGTCCTGTTGTCTGTTTTCTCCCTCTTCTGATGTCTGTCTCCTTTGCCTTTCTGAGTGAGGACTAATCATCTTACCCAGGGTCCTCCTTCTTGCTTAGCTTCTTTAGGTGTACAGATTTTAGTGTTTATCCTATATTATATGTCTAATATCCACTTATAAGTAAATATATACCATGTATGTCTTTCTGCTTCTGGGATACCTCACTCAGGATGATCTTTTCTAGTTCTCACAATTTGCCTGAAAATTTCATGATTTCCTTGTTTTTAATTGCTGGATAGTATTCTATTGTGTAAATATACCACAATTTCTGTATCCATTCCACCACTGAAGGACATCTAGGTTTTTTTTTTTTCCAGATTCTGACTATTATGAATAAAGCTGCTACAAACATGGTAGAGCAAAGGTCCTTGTTGTATGGTTGAGCATCTTTCAGATATATGCCCAGGAGTGGTATAGCTGGATCTTGAGGTAGTGCCATTCCCAATTTTCTGAGAAAGTGCCAGATTGATTTCCAAAGTGGTTGTACAAGTTTACATTCCCACCAGCAATGGAGGAGGGTTCCCCTTTCTCCACATCCTCTCCACCATCTGTTGTCACTTGAGTTTTTGATCTTAGCTGTTCTGGTGGGTATAAGGTGAAATCTCAGGGTAATTTTGATTTGTATTTCTATGATGACTAAGGACATGAGCTGGTTCTTTGAGAAAATCAACAAGATAACAAACCCTTAGCCAAACTAAATAAAAGGCAGAGAGACACTATCCAAGTCAACAAAGTTACAAATGAAAAGGGGTACATAACAACAGATACTGAGGAAAACCAAATAATCATTAGGTCTTACTTCAAAAGCCTATATGCCACAAAATTTGAAAATCTAAATGAAATGGACAATTTTCTTGATAGATTCCACTTACCAAAGCTGAATTAAGACCAGGTAAATAAACTAAACAATCCTATATCCCCTAAGGAAATAGAAGCTGTCATCAAAAGTCTCCCATCCAAACAAAGCCCAGGGCCAGATGGTTTCAGCACAGAATTATGCCATACCTTCAAAGAAGAGCTAACACCAATACTCTTCAAACTATTCCGCAAAATAAAAACAGAAGGAACATTACCAAATTCATTCTATGAAGCCACATTCACCTTGATACCCTAAACCTTACGAAGACCCAACGAAGAATGAAAATTTCAGGCCAATCTCCTCATTGCTTAAATAGCGAAAATCTATATCTTGGGATTCTCAATAGTTTCTCATGAATACCAAATGAGATGAAAGACATGAAATCGCTGTATAAATTTTTCATCAGGACTATGAAATGTTTCTTGCTGCTGGGAATATAGAAAAAATCCAGACTGGGTAGAGAAAAGAAAACAAGAAATGACATGAGTAATGTAAGTAGGAGTGCTAGGTGAAAGCAAAGAGAAATCTTGTTAAGAAGTAAAAAGTAAGAGCCATTCAGAGTAAGGAAAAGCTAAGGGGGCTCTCCGGGCTCCTTGGAATTCAGTATAATTCAGTTAATGTTCAACAAATTCTTGTTTCAACCCGAGTATAAAGTCAATCCTCACTTTCCTTTCTGTTATGTTCTAGGCAAACTATGGTCCCCTGGGCTAATTTTTATGAGCCATGGCAATTTGCACCAAGGTTTTCCTGAGAATTTGCAAGTTGTTCCCTTAATGTGACAATGCTTTTTTTCTTTCTTTTATTCTTATCTTAGTAAACTAGACTGGGCTTTAAGAGGTCATCTTAGACAGAAAATCACTAAAATGACTAGGAATTTTAAGCTATTTTAAGTGGGCCCTGCTTCCATCCTCTCTCACTTTGGCTCCTTGCTTTCTTAACTTTTTGTGACTCTGTTGATAAAAAACACAGTGGCATTTAAAACCCGCATTCAAATTCGATCTCTGGCCGTAAGAATTGTCAGTTCAGTAAATAATTTTCACTTCTCTCAGCCTCTGGTTTTTCACCCTGGAAATGGGGATTCTGATTATTTCACAGGACTGTTTCAAGACTCAAACAAATAATGAATATCTGAAGCAACATACAAATATTTTGTTTAGTATATAGCTGAGACTCAGTAATGAGAAAATGAATAAATAAAATGCTTAAATATCTACAATATCGTGTGTGTGTGTGTGTGTGTGTGTGTGTGTGTGTGTGTGTGTGTTTGTGAGATTCTTAGAAAACTGAGACCAAACCGGTAAAATGTTTGGTTAAGAATCATGCAGCCAGCAAGGCCAGAATTCGAATCTGTGTTTAATAAAGGTTTTGGTCATTAAACAATAAATCTTCTTAAAATGATTCTTAAAATAATTCATATTTTAGTGTGATCAATTAGCACTTATTGAATCTTTCTGTGCCTTCTACCTTGTCTGAAAAATATGAAACCTAGCATAGTTGTATTTAAGTGTTTATGATCTCTTATTCCTGGAATTTACAGTTCCATAATCTCAATAATTTTTCCCATCCTGGGAGACAGAAGATGAACAGGGTGTTTAGACAGCAAAATGGACTATTCTCTATGACTCTAAGACTGTTCCAGAAACACATGAGCCTGTGTGATTCTGGCCATGTTGGCTAGAGGAACAAAAGGAAGGCACTCTATTGTCTCCTGTTACTTCCCTGTGCACCTAAGCAAACTTCCCCTAACTCTGCAGTGCACCTACTTTCTCTCCCAGTGGCTCTGGAGTCTTCTAAACCCAACTCAACAAGCATTCTGCACAAGAAGGCAAGTGAGATTGTTTCAAAAGAGAAAGCTTACCTTGTTAAGGAAAACCCTTCCTTTCTTTCTTCTTTCCAAATTCATGTCAGCGGCCCATCAATGATGAAATGCAGACCCCAGCCTGAGCCTGCCAGCCCTGTTTACTTAGTAGACACGGTAACAAAGCTCTTCCCATGAATTAAATCTAGGGCTCCTGTCTGGCGGGGATTACTGGGGTGAGTGAAAGGGGGAGGAGACAGTGCTGGGTGCCCTCTTTTCCACAAACTAAACTACTGGAATGTCCTGTTCCCGCCGGTTTGGTACAAAACCTGGCGTGGTTCTTTGACAATATCCGGGTGTTTTCCAAATCCTGGTGAGGATCTCCGGAGGAATTACAAGGAGGTGGCCTGTTTTGTAGCTTGCTAGTTGGCTTTGCTGAGCTAGGATGAAAATGCACCTTCAGGGTGGCCAGCGCCCAGAGGCAGATTCCAACTTCCTGAGCTAAAAAATCGGAGGACAAAGAGTATAACTCTGTGGTAGAAATGCTGATAACGACAGTGAAGATAATAATGCCACAAATATCTCTTAAAATGAAACTCTACTCTGGGGTTTTTGTTTTTATTTTTGTTTTGTTTTTTTTTTTCAGTTTTTTTTTAATTTTTTTTTTAACCAAACAGCATTCCAGTCCGTTCTGCAAAGAAATGGCTGTGAAAAGTCACTGAATTAAATAGGGCCTATGTCCTAGCTCTTCTGGCTTTGGCAACAATTAGCTGGGTGGATTTGGTCTGGGGCTTTGCTCCACTTGCCTCTTTCCATTTGTATGATGAGGATCTTAATGTAGATAAGAACCCGTTTGTCTCTGTAAAAGCCACAAAACTGGGATTCTATGAAGGTGTATTCTAAGTAAAAGAGCAATTGAGAAAGAAATGTAAGAAAATAATGTGTGAAGAGTGAGTCATTAAGATACAGCTGAATACCCTATGCCTTGTTTGGAGGATTATTTCTACCCACCAGACTCCTCAAACACAGGAAGGGTACAGATGACAGTCTACTACCTGGTGTCCTTCCGTTGTGATGAGGAGATCTTCACCGAGAGCAGATTGTCTTCTTTGCTCAGGCTTTCCACACTTTCTTTCCCGAAGCTGAAACAGCTGGAGTAGGGGCTGTGAAAGAGGACTCTCATTAGACAGAAAGTCCCACTGAGCTGGTAGGGCAAAGTCTGAATCATAAACAACCAGAGGTTTTAAGGATTGTCAGCCACTGAGGAGCTCTGCCCTGCAAATTGCAGCGTAGGCCAAGGGAAGTGGAAGTACCAGTAAAAAGAAGGGAGGAGCCACCTACCTCAGCTACCTCAGAAACACACAGTACCCAACAGCAGCTGGATTAGTTCCTGGCAGCACCTAAGATTACCTGCCTGACACACATGTGGACCTTGAAGCTAGAAGGGGAAGGTGGAGACCAAACCCATTAACCTGAGATCCAAGTCCAGGCTCTAAGGCATTTATGACAGGGAAGGGAGGGGACAGGATAAGGCCTGTGCTCTGACTCATGAAACACAACAAAAAGCAGGTCATTATAGATGCTCTTGAGTCAACACAGTAAATACTACAGAAGGCAAATGAGACAAGATTTACAGGCTTATAATATTTATTCACAAATCTTTCTGAGAATGCAAGTGGTGAACACCTCTCACACAGATACTACATGTTTCCGGTGCTTTTCTCTTGCTAGTCACTTGTAAAATATTTTTAAGCAGCTGTCTATAGACCACAGGTTAGGAAGCTTTAATGTAAAGAGTTACTTAATATGTATTTTGTAGAATTTCTATGGACTATAACTTTTCAAACTATGCTTACAGCTCATAAGACCTCTATATATTCCAACGGTAAAAATATTATAAAATAAAAACAACAGACAGGATTTGAGCTATGAGCTATGAAACTTTTTTTTAAGAACATTAACATTTGAAATATGTTCCAAGGAGTATGGAATCTATATCTGGAGTCGTTGATTGAAATCAGTTTTGCCACTTCCAGAAAATGCAAACTTGGAAAACTATTTTAATCTTTCCAAATATAAGTTTTGCCCTTTATGAAAGTGTTTTATAGACATATTATGAGAAGTGAAATAAAATTATATACGTGAATATGGTGACTGGCAGATAATGACAGAAATGATGTTTGCCTTAATATTTATTAACGATATAAAACTGGGGCTGATGAGGTAACATAGTGGGTAGAGTATTTGAAAACTGTGCACAAAGCCTTGTGGCCAATCTCCAGCATCATAGAAAACTTAGCATGGTTGAGTATGTCTATAATATCATCAGGACACAGAAGAAGGAAGATCAAAAGTTCAAGGTCTTTTTGGACTTCATATTGAGTTGGATGCCAGCCTAGGGTACATGAGACTAAATAATAAATTTGTTATTAATATAAATGATATGAATTTATTTTAAATTGTTGTGATTTGAATGAATTTTTTCCCATAGGTTTATATATTTAAATGTTATTCACCACTTGGTGGAATATTTGGGAAAGAATTAGGACATGTAGCCTTGTTGGAGGATGTATGTCTCTGAGGGTGGGCTTTGAATTTTTAAAAGTTCATGCCAGTAACCACCCCACCCCTTACTGCTTTTGGATCAGGACATTAAGCTCTCAACTACTACTCTACTGCCATGCCTGTTTCCTTGCTTTCTTGATGATCATGGACTAATCCTTTGAAGCTATACTCAAGTCCTCAATTAAATGCTTTCTTATATAAGTTTCCTTGGACATTTGCTTAACCATATTCATAGCAGCTTTATTCTTAATAGCCAGAAACTGGAAGCAATCTAGATGTCCCTCAACTGAAGAATGGATAAAGAAATTGTGGTACATTTACACAATAGAATATTACTCAGCCATTAAAAACAAGGAAACCATGAAATTTGCAGGCAAATGGTGGGAACTAGAAAAGTGAGGAAACCTGAGTGAGGAAACCTAGAAGCAAAAAGACACACATAGTATATGCTCATGCATAAGTGGTTATTAGACATATAATATAGGATACATATACTAAAATCTATAGTCCCAAAGAAGCTAAGCAACAAGGAAGACCCAAGGGAAGATGCTAAACCTCATTCAGAAGGACAAACACAATAGAAATCAGAATGAGGAGAGAGGGAATAAGACAGGAGCCTTCCACAGACAGGCTCTGGAAGACTCTACTGATCCAGGGATTGAAGCAGACGCTGAAACTCATAGCCAAACTTTTGGCAGTATGTGGGAAATCCTATAAAAGAAGGAAGAGATAGTAAGACCTGGAAGGGACAGGAGCTCCAAAAAGAGACCAACAGAGCTAAAAATCCTGGTCCCTGGGGTACCTTCAGAAACTGATACCCCAACCAAGGACCATGCATGGAGAGGACCTAAAACCCGGCCCAGATGTAGCCCATAGACTGCTCAGTTTCCAAAGGGTTTCCCTAGTAAGGGGAGCACGTGCTGTATCTGACATGAACTCAGTGACAGGCTCTCTGATTACCTCCCCCTGAGGAGTGCAGCCTTGCCAGACCTCAGAGGAAGACAATGTAGCTGGTCCTAATGAGACCTGATAGGCTAGGGTCAGATGGAAGGGGAGGAGGACCTCCCCTATCAGTGGACTAAGGGAGGGGCATAGGGGGAAAAAAGGGAGGGAGGGTGAGATTGGGAAGAGATAAGGGAGAGAGCCACAGCCTACATAAAAAGTGAATAAATTATAATAAATAATAATAATAAATATGTATTTATGATTTTTACTTCTTTTGAGAACTGTTTATTTGACTTATTAACCAATGTTTATATTGGATTTTATGTTAAATTTAAGAACTTTTTTACATGTATTCTAGGTGATAATCCTTTCTCTAATATATGGGTAGCAAAGACTTCCTGTTTGGTTGGCTGCCCCCTCACTCTGTTGATTATATCATTTTCTATGCATAAACTTTGTTTAACTCATGTTCTACTCTAGGTGTTTTAATGTTTCAAGTGTTACATTAAGTCTTTAGGGCTTAATGTCAGGGAATATTTTTTTCTAAGCATTGCCTATACTTTCTTTTATGATCATCATAGTTTTTGAATCAAGGTACACAGCAATAATTGCATGTTTCTTTCTAAAGCTTAGTATTAAATCTTAAATATCTTCCCCATTTTAATTTTACAATACTTTTACATGAAAAAAAAATTTTAACTCAAGTTACTTGAAGCCTGGACACACTTCCATGATTAGATGGGCTATGTCAAAGCAGATCTACTACCTAGGAATAAGAGAAAAACTTATACTTGCTTTTGAAAGTGTGCTAAAATACAGCTGGGATACAGAGTTAATAAAATGTAACTAATAATAATAAAATAAAATAAATATAAAAGAAAGTGTGCTAAAACAGGAATGGCCTTTTATCTGCTAAATTTCAAAGTAAGATGGGATAAAGGCCAGATATTTTCTTCAGGAAAAAAATAAAATTATTTCTGAAGACTCCTTATTCATAATTTCCTCCCAAATGGCTGAAAAAAACGGGTGAAAGGTCAACATGAGTTTCAAAGTGCTATCCTTGAAGGACCAGTAGTCCTTGCTAAATGACTGCTGAGGAAAGTGGTTCCTCAGCCAAGTAATGAAAATGAAAAGTTTATTTCTTTATTTCCATTTCCAAAAGCTTTTGAGAAGCCCAATACCCACCCACAATTGTGTATGGTTCATTCTGTGCCTAAGTGCCTCTCTCTGTTAACTCACGTTCTTAAATCGGTTAAACATGTCTTTTAATAAACACCAATTCTAGATCCCACCATTTGCCTGCAAATTTCATGATTTCCTTGTTTTTAATTGCTGAGTAGTATTCCATTGTGTAAAAGTACCACAATTTCTGTATCCACTCCTCCGTTGATGGATATCTGGTAGAAAAGATCATCCTGAGTGAGGTATCCAAGGAGCAGAAAGACACACACGGTATATACTCACTTATAAGTGGGTACTAGACCTATAATATAGGATAAACATACTAAAATCTGTACACCTAAAGAAGATAAACAAGAAAGAGGACCCGGGGTAAAATGATCAATTCTCACTTAGAAAGACAAATGGGATGGACATTAGAAGTAGGAGAAAACAAGTAACAGGACAGGAGCCTACCACAGAAGGCCTCTGAAAGACTCTACCTAGCAGTGTATCAAAGCAGATGCTGAGACTCATAACCAAACCTTGGGCAGAGTGCAGGGAATCATATGAAAGAAGGAGGAGTTAGTAAGACCTGGAGAGAACAGGAGCTCCACAAGGACAAA